GAATGAAAAATATTGGAAAATGGGATAAAAAAATTAATTATAAAAAATACAAAAATGGCCGTGCGTTTAATGATATTCACTACACCAGGTTCTATCATGTTTTTCAGTTAACATTGCATCTGTAAACAATACCAGTCCACTTTCAAAACTAATTTACGTTAGAAATTCACGTTCCACCCAAGTGATTCCTACATAATATTTCTGAATAAATACCTATTTAATGAGTTTTGTTATTTTTAAAATAAATAACTATCAACTGGTAAATTATCGAAACTAAGGAATCTTAGTCTATCCCTGTATTACAGTTATAATCTTTGCAGAAATCGACAACTGTGAACTCATACGGGCTTGAATCCTAGAACTCCACACTCAGAGTTATCGTGGTTGGTAATGTCACAGTAACTCAGTGATAAATTTGTTTTAAAATCATGTTGTATCACAAATCTCAAAAATTCATATAATTGAATTTCGACTCAATAGTTTGTGTTCTTGGTAAGAATTTATTTGAAAGAGTGAATACACACTATTGGTTATCATTACCAAGGTTTGATTTGATAATTTCGAATAAATTGAATATTGGGTAGATTGTTTTAAATAAATAATATATTTGTAATATCTCAATGAGTAGAAAAATTAGATTTTCTGACGTTTCGTGACTTAGTATAAGCCACTTCTTCAGAGAATAAATAACCAAATTAAAATTAATCCAAGTTTAAATAGTACAACGGAACAATAAGAATAATATGTGATCAATCAAAAACAGGTCTGAATAAATCAATGTCATATCATTTCGATCAAGGTGACTCATAAGTGATATGTATGTAAATTTGTATGTATGTGTTTACTGTTTAAGAATGAAAAATTGTGTGACCTTTATGGTGAGAAAGAATAGAGTTTAATTTGTAAGGTAATGGAGTGAATTGTGAATAATATAAGACTAGGTGGCTACGATAGATAGACCAAGTAGGATGTATGGTAAAGCCTTCTTTTCTATTAAGAAAAGTAGGATTAAGCATTGTATGGAACGCTTCAGCTACTCTCCTTTCTTTGTAATTGGAAAAACCTTTTTGTAATAGTTTGTTATTTTTGAAATCTATTTAATGGTCATTGAAAATGGAGTGAACTGATATTGCCGATTTAATTTGAAGTCTATCCAGTTCTACGGGATTGTTAGGAGGTTTCTTTGTGTACCTAATATGTTCTTTGGCTCTAGTCAAGATTTCTCGAGATGACTCTCCAATATGGAAGGCATCACAATCGATACAACCTAATTTGTAGACAGTCCTGTGTAGACATGAGAGGGATTATTTCTTTTAAGCGAACTAAAGTATTTCGAAGTGTGTTCGTTGTTTTGTAATATACTTTAATTCTATGTTGTTTTAAGATTCCTTGGAGTCCTACTGATGTGCCATGACGGTATGGTAAAACTGCCGTTATTTATTCTCTGAAGAAGTGGCTTACACTAAGTCACGAAACGTCGGAAAATCTAATTTTTCTACTCATTGGGATATTACAAATACATTGTTTATTTACACTATTGGTTAGTTTTCAGGATAATACGAAACAATTATCTAGTATTCTTTGTTTTATAATAATTCTCTAGCTAATATTAGTTTACAATGAAAACTATCTTCAAACTAGACAACATTTCACAAAACATTTGAAAAAATACTATCACTTAAGGTATTTCTTATTTTGCATTTAGAATTTGCTTTAGGTTTTACTATGTTAGTTCGATAATTTTATCTATTGTTTAAATTGACAACACATTCAATTGTATTAGTTTTTTTAAAGATGTATCGAAATATATTTGCTACAATATTTTTTAAAGTTCATTACCTTTAATTGCATCACTTTAAACATTTTTTTTACAGTATTTGTTTGTCTACTTTCATCTAATCAATAATGTGAAAAATGTTTTACGATGGTTACTACAATGTATTTTTAAGCATGAAAAAAATCCATCCACAGAAATATAAATCAATAAAATCTGTTAATTAGATGTCTACACTATAAGTAGTTAATGATAAGAAATAACTCGTGATAGGTGAGTTTAGAAAAATGTTTATTGCTTTATTTTCTCTAAAGACAGCGTATTATCCTACTAATACTTTGGGGTTGCCAAGTCGTAAATTAACCCAGTATTCATACAACGATTCGAAGAAGTCACCGATGGTGGTTTTTCCGATCTATGTATAGCAGTTTAACTACTCCTGTGGAATTAGTTTCTCAAATCGTACTCAGATAGTCTTTCCCTAAAGTGTTCGTGAATATGGACCAGTAAGGTTAGGAAAAAGGTCACTAAGTCTATAAACAACCCCATAATTTCTTACCTGGTAGACAGTAAACACTACTAAGATAGGAGTCTAGTTTCTCATTGTTATGAAGTCTGTATGATCATACGATCCTCAAAGGTACTTGTTCGACCAAACAATTAGGAATATAATATAGATGACCTACTAATCAAATTGTAAGCATCATTACTAAGGTTTAACTTAATAATTTCAAATGGATTTGTAATACCTTAAATAGCAAAACGTGAAATTTGCGACGCTTTGCAACCCGGATAAGTCGCCTCTTCAGAAACGCAATTTTAACTTAGTCACTACTACTTACCAGTCAAACCATATTTTGGAAGTCCAACAGAATGGGGTTCTGTTTTATATTGCTACTGACTGGCATTTCAATGAACTTCGTTTTTGAGAAGATATGTAATCGAGTTTTTTAACGAACTGTTTCCAGAATGTCCTCAATATTTTCCTTCCTTTCACCTGTTACGCTTGAAGAGAATACCTCCTCTAGGTAGAAATTAAGCATTCCGGTCAGATATATTTTAGATCGTAGTTCTGTATATGAATTATCTCCAAGCGTAGGTAATTTTAGTATTGGCGTGCTCATCCCTTATTAAGAATCTATCCAGAATGACTTGGTGCGACGAATTAATTTAAACAACTCAGCGATTGCATTTGACTCCGGTGTAATGATAAGTCGTGGCACAAAAAATTATTAAGTTTATTCCAACCAAGCATGTCCTCAATTAGAGCAAGCAGGCAGAAAAAGAATGGGTTAATTAAATGCATGAACAAATGTGTGGTTGAGGTGTGTATACATAGTGACACCATACATGTATGTAAAAAGTGCTCTGAATCAAAATGTACCTAGATCTAATCCGATAGGTCGTCGGGAAAACATGAATATTCATAAGTGTATACGTGTACACAGGTTAGAGTCCACAATTATTCATAAGAGTGAGTACAAAGTAATCAATCCCACTCCAATTATATATTTGATTGTAAAGCGCCTAACTCATATTATTTTAATACTTCTCTAAAAGACAAGCATACACAATAACGGGAATGAGTGCGATCTTTTGTTTGTCTAGAAACTAGAATAAGCCCACTACACTAGATCAAAACTTCATCAGTCCGCGATAGTGGTGGTATATAAGATCCCACTTAGTTCACAATAAGCTCACTCAAGACATGAGAAAAGCAACATTTCCCACGTATTTGGCGTCTTGATTACTATCATATTGATATTCTCTTCTTTTTAATGGTCAACATACACACTGACTTCATCACTGTACTGTCAGAGTCGAAACTGCATTTTAGCAACAACTCCTTTTTTTTCTATGCCCAATCAACGGATAAAGGTAGTACAATTCGGTAAATTTAACGCATTTTGATAGTTATCAAAAAAGACAGCTAAGCAATCATATTACAATCTGAACAAATTTTTAATAATGTTATGGATTCATCTTACTACGCTAGCTTGTCACTAGATGCTAGTAACTGATTTGTTGTAATGAAAATAGTGACTCGAAAACACGATCCAAAACGTAAGAAGTTTAATACACTTGTAGTCAATACTGAATCAAGCTTGCCGAACCGTCTCAGAAAAAATTCGCCTTACACCCATAGGACAAATCGTCTATTAATGTGGCCTTACTTGGTTGCAGAGAATTCGTCTAGGGTGTTGCAAGTTATCCCAGCACCGCACAGGTTCCGCTTCAAGGTAAGCACAGTACCCTCAATTGTTCAATTACCGATATGCACTTATATTTATATTCCAGTTGTTGTGGATTCGGATATCTTAATTTGAACTTGCCAGGAGACTTACACAACGAAACGAAGAGCTTTTTGCACAGCATGCTTTCATTTTATCCCTGGTAAATAAGAATTATATGGAATGATTACTACGTAGAGTAAGCAGAACCATGTCTATTGATTCCTTTGTAGTAAATGAACCCTATCTACCAAGTTGCAATGCAGTTGCTACTTTAAGTGACTCAACATAGCGTGTATTATGTTTGGATATCGGGTGGTTGGTGAGAGAACAGAGACTTTGGCTTCGTCCTGGTTGGGACTAGTCATCGAGGCTTACATGCAATTAACGCTCCCCCACATCAGTCTGAGATGTTGGTACTGAGCCGTTCGTGTTCCGACAGACCTCCTGTACGGCTGATGTATTTACATTGATCAATGAGCGGTAACAGATATCATAATTGAGTAGTCTTTAGTGCTGACCTGAGGTAACTAAAAATTTCGACGCTTCTGGTTTCCATCCACATACAGAAAACACTAAAGCAATACACGAGTTGTTGGGAAAACACGAATTTAGGACATGATATATTACCTAGAAGCGGTATGAGAAAGAAGCATAATATGGAATCCTATGTTTAGGTATGAGGGATCGGAAAAGCTATATTTGCTTATCAACACATTATTTTTAGCCTTATGAATACCTCGAAAATAATGTCCTTCACACTAATTTTCGTCATAAGCTAAAAGGACGCGTCTTCCTCGTCTTTATTATATACCTCCAGCGGTTCGTTATGCTGACTCATTTTCTGTTGTTTGTTACACATAAACCGAAGACAGAAATATGAAATATTGAATACTAGATCAATGACATAAAGGTTGGGAGTTTACTACGAGATATCTGACGGTGTCATATATGGGTACTGTTGATGAGACCTAAATACTAGTGCGAAACGGATTCTCAATAGTTGTTTAGTTAACGACAGTTTGTGATGTACACTACAAATGAACAATGTTCGCAAAATCCCTAAACTAACAATTTACTAGTAAACTAGGATAATAAACACAGATACAGAAAGATGAAGAGAATTAAAGCTAATAGATGAGAATGGAATACTTTTTTAGAGAATATACATATGATTTAACAGACAAAGAAAAGATACTACAATGGAATGAGAAAATCAGTAAAACAAAATTGTGAAACGAGTGAAGTATCAATTACTCCAATATATTTCAGCGAACGAGTCAATCATTCATCTAGACTGCTAAGTTTGTTAGTTCGAAAATATCCACCTCTATTTACATGATTCAGACAAATCAAGTTCCAATAGGTACGGTGTTAAATATGTTATGATAATTGATGCACCTACACATAAAATGTGAAAATAAAGGTAGAGAAAAAATGTTGTTTAAGAAATACATAAGTATGTTTTTGATTAAAAACAATAAAGAAAATGAATACTACGAACAATCAATAAAATATCTTTGTTATGAAGTGTATAATAGTCTAAAAATGGTAACACTAACGAAGTTCATGTACGTGTGAACTAGTATGTGTAAAAACTTCTGTTGAAGTTAATTAGGTGGTCATTGCAGCTGAGTTGAAGTTAGAATAATGTAATATTTTTTAATCGTTCAGAATATAGCTAATGATCAAAACAGGTTTATGTTTACGGACTTATTTTTTGAATCGGGGAAAAGATATGCACAGTTTTGTGATTACATCCCAATTATGTTTTTGAACAAAACACACCGATAAAACGTTTGTGATTCGCACTTTTGGTACTGTACTAATTAATATATATCATTTAGGATAATTAATTTGTTACATAGATTTGTATAATGTGATAAAATGAAGTCTATCCGAAAAATGTAATTTATTTGCATTTCATGTTAATTTTTTCATAAATAAATGGTAAGACATGATTACAGGCTATAATGAAACTAGTTGCCTTTGGGAATACATTTTGCTCTGATGCAAATCATTTAAAGTTAACATCAAGTAAACCAATAAATTTGATCTGAATATCTATGATCTGATTAGTAGTATTTAAACAGCAGTTGTTATGAATAGTTTACCAGGATGCAGAGAAAAGTTATATGCAATTATTATCTACCTCAAAAATATTTTTAATACACAAGAAATATTGGTTAAAAAACTAATATATGAACGAAGAATACTCTTTTCGTTAAATTCTCTTCGGGTTCTACAATTATATACCCAAATTAATGATCCGAAAAGTGGTCAGGTTTAGGGCAAAGTACAACGTTGAAAGTTATAGTATGCGAACGACGGAAGCAGTAGCTATTACGATTAAGGAACCGGAGCTATGGGTACAAAGAAATATCTTCAACCGCCTCTCCTACCTTGGCCTACCACAGGACCAACTAATCAATAATCATAGCTATTGAATGACCTAATTTGAGTAATGTACCTACAACCTTTCTTAGTCAAATATAATTGTCTACGGTATTTATTCACATATCTTTGTATTGTTATTATCGTTATTATTATTGGTTTAGCATTATTATTAATGTCTCGAATACATGATTCATTAAATTAGCATTCATCCCACTTTACCATTTCTTATTAATTTCAAATAAAATTTTTACATAATATAGTCTTCCAATAGACATTTGATCGAATTTGTAAATAAATTATTATTTCTCTTCCCTTATCTGTCCCATATTTATTCCGATCATGAACAATCTCATAATTTTGCTTAACGTATATGCTGATTCAAGTTAACATTTTATATGAGTTATCTCAACACTAACAATTTTATTTCATTTTACAATCTTACATTTACATGTTATTACTTTAAACGATGTACTTTGCCCTAAATCTGACCACTTTTCAGATTATTAATTTGGATATACAATTTTCTAGAACATGAAGAGAATTTGTTGAAAAGAATATTCTTTGTTTATATAGTAGTCTTTTGAGATGGGAAATTTTAAACAATCAAAATATTGGTTATTTCATGAGCATAAACAAAAATCGTCTGGAATGTAAATTTACCGGCACGACGGAACGCAGTCATCAATTCTAAGGCGGCTTGCTTTAAATCGATAGCTCCAGCATTCGCAGCATGTTTTAGCATTGCATATTCACCAGAAACATGATAAACTGCTAGAGGATGATGAGGTAGCTGAAATAAAGAAAACAATATCAGTAATGAAATAAATTGTATATTCATGTAAGAGTTATTAGGAGTTTTGTTCAAATTTTTTATAGGCGTTTGATTAACTTTAGCTGGATATTAACACGCTACTTATACAGGTAATAATCGTCTCTTAAGAATAAAAGAACTATTTGTAGAAACAATCAAGGTATTTTGACAAAATGAGTGAGAAATTTATTCTGAAGTATAACCTATGTTGAGTAACTGTTTTGTTTCTTATATTAGCTATCACTTTAGATTGAGGAAGATCTATATGAGTGTAAAGTCACTGCATTAGATTGTTGAACAGCGTTTGCAAATTCAAGATTAGCGTTCAAAATCTTATCCACAGTAGTCTATTTTGAGCTTTATTCTTATATCCTCTAATATAAACGCATTGCTAGCTTACATATTAGTCTGTAAAATTATTATATGCGATCACTTGTTCTAACGTAACAGTCTTGAAGAGAGTCGCAACGTAGAATCTGTATGTAAGTACGTCGGTTCAATTTGCCACAGCTCATTAGCACACCGAGATGAAGTTGTCAGGCCAAATACCAGGATAGTAGAGGTAGTAACAGCATCAGTGGTAGTAGGAATGATTCAGCATTGAAAATACGATTCAAGAAAATATAAATTAGTGAAACAGAACACAAAAAAGTTATGAGGAATTTAGAATTCCAAGATTTGGGGGAAAAAAAGAATGGATGCACCTGTGGTATTGCAAACGATTTTGAACTATGTCATTCAGTCTCTAATTATTGAATAATTTATAATTGTTTTCGTATATTAAGATGTTGACTTTTTAACGATATTCTTGCCAAAATGGTCTTTCACACAGAAAAATTTACCTACTCATTTGCGGATAACTAAAAATGCTTAACTCATAGTCAGAATGCTAAAAATGTATGCACTCTTTTTAGTTGTCGACTTCCGAATGCGATTTCAAACATGGGTATATCACAGAACATGTCAAAGGGTTGTTTGATCAGACGTTACGGCACAGAAAGTGTGAATCAATACAAATTGCTGTAAAACAAATGACTATTATTGTCGAAATACCAATGCTGCATAGATAGTACATCCAAAGAGTTAAGAAAATCACAGGACACATCAAACAAACACAACAAGGGCATACCAACTGTCGGATCTCATTTACAATATCCAGATAAGGAAGACCAGGTTTTACCATTATGAAGTCAGCTCCTTCGTTTGCATCGCGAATCTGGAATGTGCAAAGGTTAAAGACAAAATAAGGAAATAAAAAACGTTAAGAGATTTTTCGCAGTAATTATACAACGTATTTAGTTTAAAAATGTGATGCAACTACATAAGTGTCTCAAAGTAGGACATAAATATTGTCATTGAAACTGTGCTGTGTAGCAAATCCAAAAAGAATATTTCATTAGATGAGTAGACTGACTAATTAGATAAACGAAGTTATGCTCTGTTAACATCAAATTCTCTGAAAATAAAAAAAATGGAAGCAGTGTAAGGTATCTATAATTTAATTAACCATAGGACTCGATTATCAGTCACATTGTAATTCGTCTCAAGTGTGTTCAATTTATTGTTGTTTGCTCAGAAGTTTATCTAAACATTTCTTGACTAACGCTTCTGGGGGGATGTAGTCTTAACTTGTGGTAATTGGTCTATATGGCCATTTATAATTAGACAAAAATGATAATGACACAGTGACCGCACAAAAATTAAATGCTAAAGCATATGATGATGTATTTCCTTAATGTCATTAAACTATCATATTTAGGGGGTTTTATTTACAAAGTTTATGCAGGTTGAAATAGAAATTGTACCCTAACTTAAAATTAAAAAATGAAAACAAACTGGCTCAAATGTGCTTGTTTTAATTTACTTTTGGCTATGACAACCATATTACCTTTCTTAGTTTGATGATATGTTTAAAGCGCGATTGTTAATATCATGTTGCGCTCTTTTGTAGTATGATAAGTTAAACTAATTCGCTACTGTGTTTGATTCTATAGTCAAGTTATATGATTAATATGAAGATTAACAGATGGGAATTGGTGAATCCAGTCTGAAAGTTAGATATGAAATCACTTCTAGTAAACTATGAACTATGAAGGACCTTTCATTTTATTTATAGATGTGAAGTAGGACAAACGTTATATTGAAATAAAATCACGTCAAATTTCAAATTCAACACCAATTCATTTAAAAAATTGTCTGTGAATTTAAACCCATTTGAAGTGACAGTTTGTTAGTTTGAAAAATGATCATCTAAGACTTACAGCAGCACGTAGAGCCAATCCTTTGGCACCAGGAGGAAGCTGGTAATGCCGACGGTCTCCAAAAGCAGGTGCAGATTGAGCAGCATCTCTGGAACGTAAACGTATTAATTACATATCACTCTTAGTCATCAGTCCAGACACTATTTTATGCACTAAAACTCAAGTTTGAAATCCACTTCACCAACTAGTCGCTAAAATTATATAATATTATAACCCCTTGTACAATACGTGTATCTGGATTATTACAAAGACCCATAAACAGCCACTGAGTTGGATTTTTGTTCTCTCACTTGTTAATACGAGTGATTCCAATAAAGTGGCCGTGACTAAAATAAAGCTCTTATCAAAATAGCAAAGAGCACTCATTCAACGACTAAAGCTAGGCCAGTTCCAAAGAATTTCAGCTGAAAATCTCGTCCTGATGTTTACAAGCTTTGAAAAAATCCCATACTACTGATTTTTATCTGTGTCGTCAAATGAAGACTACATCACGTTTTTTTTTATTTTAGCTAATAGTACAAAACATATAACATTATTTATTAATATAAGTCATAAGACACAGAGGCAACACGTAACTGTCAGTAAACTCGACACCTTATTTGGGAATTTGCACTGTCTTACATACACAAGTTTTTAGGTTATCTCAAAAATTATTTTTACCTGAAAGGACCGTACAGACAAGATGCAAATTTGGCCGAATAAGACATAACGGCTACCTTCTCACTAAGACCGATACTCTGTATAGCCGTCTTGATTTTTTTCACACGTCCATCCATCATGTCAGAAGGGGCAATAACATCAGCTCCTGTAAATAATTAATAAGCGTACATTGTATAACGGATGAGCATTTACAGCCTATTAAGACGTAAAATACTGAACGACAAATCGATATCTGATAAGTATAAATAATCTAGATGAGCGTTTTTTCTAACGGAAGTGCCAGACAATGATGTTACACACAACGAAACTCAAGAAGTTATTCTTTCTGTTTTATAGAGACCATCTAATAAGGGAGCATATCAAGTCACAGTCGGACACTCCCAAAATCACTGTATGGATTACATTTAACACAAATGGTTGTACCTCAATCTGGATTACTGATACAGCTAGATCCATTAGTTCTGATAATAGATTTCTCTGTGACTATTTAACTACCAAGACTATAGTGACCAGACGTTGTATTTACTCTGAAGAGAGGTGGGAGAGTGTATTTTGTGGGATTGATTTTAAGTGAGCCTAAATCCTGAAAATTTTCTTCATAACGAGGAAACCAAAACTCACCAAATCACCCAACGTTTCACTGGGGCTCATAAAGAGTGAACCGGTAAAACCAGGCTGTTTTTAGATCTGCATTTAGATGCATTGACGAAATATTCACCCTTCTTCAGGTTTAAAAAAGCAGACATACTATAGTGGTATATATTAATATATAGAGAGTATGCGACTCTGTTGACCGAGATTCTGTGAAAACATTTGTCATTGAAAGACGTACCAAATAAGTACATAAAGCTTGTGAAAACTTTCCACTTAGACACTATTGGTCGAGTTAGAGGCTACGACTATATGTAGACCTTAAGTGGTATTCGTCAGGGTTTCCCACTATCTCAATTTTTATGTACGCTCATCACAGATGTCACTGGAAGTAACATTCTCTTCACCTAACTTTTCGTAGATTAGTATCTCAGGATGTTCATTTACAGACTCGAAGTACGCAGGTGATGTACTCTTTTCTGCTGAAGACGCTAACAAAATTGATTCTTTTGATTACCTTGAGCAACAATGCTAGCGTGTTTAGGATGGGTTTCTCTCCCCCCTAAGTGCTAAATGTTGCTTCAATACTAGTATGTCTTAACACCTCAATTAATGATAGGGAGTGAAGTAGGTGAGCACGCTGATTACTTCACTTATCTTGGAGGTCTCATCAGTCTTAGTGGGTTGGTACCTAACCGAATCCCGACATGAACTCAAAAAACCCGGATGGCGTCTTCCATCTTGAGTCGCTTGTGATGCAGTCGAGGTGTCCGCTTGTCGACCAAATAGAGTGTACATTGTGCAGTAGTAAATAAAAAGCTTCCAACTGTTGGGACAGCCCACTTAATTAATTCTCATTTATATGCTCAGATAGTATTAGTATTCTGGTATTATGTGGCCTTCATAACCCAGCAAGTGAACCAGTACACGACAGTTACATTTAGTAAAAAGTACTCACCTTCTAGGGCAAATCGTTTAGATATTTCCGCTAAACGTTCAAGAGTCCTCGGTACGTCAAGGCACCCGTCATCACGTAAAATACCTAAATTATGTTCAAAACCAAATGTTACACAGTACCACAATGACCACTGTCAGTATATGCACACAAACAAACATCACAAATCACTATTAAATCCGGAAATTTCGACTTCAGCAACTTAATTGCCTGAATGACAGGTGAATTCGGTGTATCACAAGCTGATCCTGTAGCATCTTTATGGTCTTTACTGATTGTCCCAAACAACAATACAGATTTCAGTTGCTTGGCCACCAAAGGTGTTAAGAAGTCGATGATTCGGTTGTATCCTATTCGACGTTGGTCTATTAGACTAGTAATTATTTTATCACAATCGGGGTCTTGGCTGAATGGATGAGAAAACAATATAATATACCTGAGGAAAATTGGATACACAAGATTCTCGGCACTGACCTTATAGTTTGCGGTATGCCACTGTCTGAACAACAAATTTGAGTATGACGAATGGAGGGGGTGAGTAGAATGCATTACAAAGTAAAATACTTTGAAGCTTTTGATAGCTTTCAGTAGAAGTGAATTGGTTGTGTGATCTGCAAGATAAGAACGATAAAACCTGATTTATGAACAATTAAAAAAACAACCATAGTTATGAGCTTAATGAACCAATCATCTAGTAGAATAAACGACTATTTTAATTTCACATCTAAGCAATTGAAATGGTTGTTTGTGAGGATCTGCCACATACCAGACTGAGAAATGTAGGCATTCAGAGGCCCTATTTGTTAGTCATAGATGACGAAACATGTGTAACGAATAACTGAAGTATCTCAATCACTTAAGGTACAAAACCTTGCCATGAGATTTGTTATTCCTGTCTACTTTGCAAGTGTATTTGAATCCCGACACAATGTTACGAGATTATTATCCCCATCTTCTATATATTTTCTTAGGGTGACAGCAACTCTCAAGGCGTGTACCACGTGTAAAATTTAAGTCAGTCAGTAACAACGTGGAACTTCGTACGTACGTACATCAGTTCGAGTTGCCATACCACATTAGTACAGAGATTCAGTTATCAATTCAAATCCCCTAGTGGTAGAGGTACTGAAAGTATAAGTAGAAATAGGGGACATTAAGGTTTGATGATGTTATTAAAGGACTATAGTCCAGTGGAATAAATTGGGAAAGAAAATAAAGGACATGAAGAATTCAGAAGACTAGAGTTTGAGAGAACACAAAGAGTGGATGCACCTGCGTCATTGCAAACGATTTTGAGCCATGTCATTCAAGGTCTCTAACCATCGGTTGCTATCGTCTCGCGGTCCCCAACCAGGTAGTCTACACCTACCAACATGACTCAGTCCACTTGTCAGTGACTTCATGGATTTCTGCCATGTTTTGGTCTGGCCGCCCCTAGCCTTCTTCCAACCTACTCCTACAACACCATAAAACATAGCACGTCGGGGCAGTCGGTGGTCGGGCATGCGCAGCACATGTCCCAGCCATCTCAACTGATTAAGTTTCACTACTTCATCAATTGATTTGCCATCCTTACCTTGTACCCATTTCCTAAGAACTGAGTTACTTACTCGGTGGTCCCAGGATATACGAGCGATGTTTCGAAGACATCTATGATCAAATACTAGTAACCTACGAATATCCTCTACTCTTACTGGCCATGTTTCACTGCCATAAAGTAGGACAGAACGAACTGCTGAGCAGTAAACACGTCCTTTGGTTGATAGACGGATATCTCGCCTACGCCACAAATGACGCAAGTTGGCAAAAGCTAGTCGAGCCTTCTGTATCCGTGCTGAGATTTCGTCACACACCAAACCACAAGGGCTGATGAGACTTCCGAGATAAGTGAAGCGGTCGACACGCTCAACTACTTCACTCCCTATCACTAGTTCGGGTGTCAACGCAACCCAATCCTGAAGCAACATTTTGCATTTCGAGGGAGAAAATCGCATGCCGAACATGCTTGCATTGTTGCTTGGAGTGGTCAGTAGAATCTGCATTCTGTCAGCGTCTTCACCAAATAGAACTATGTCATCGGCATATTCTAAGTCAACAAGTGGATCTCCCGGTAAAAGCTCAACTCCTGGAAATTTAGATGAGGAAAGTGTCATCTCTAAAAGGACGTCAACGACAAAGTTAAACAAGAATGGAGAGAGTGGACAGCCCTGACGAACACCACTTGAGGTAATCAATTCTGATGACAGTCCACCATAAGCTCTCACTCGACCAGTTGTGTTCGAGTAGAGAGCCTTTATAAGGTTGATGTACTTCTTTGGTACTCCTTTCAGTGACAAACACTGCCATAGAACCTCACGATCAACAGAGTCAAATGCCGCCTTAAGGTCGAGAAATACTACCATTGTGGGACGTCTGAATGTGTGTCTATGTTCTAGGACCTGACGTAATGTGAGTATTTGATCAATACAACCACGTCCAGGTCGAAAACCAGCCTGGTTTTCTCTAGTCTGCTCTTCACGAGCTTTGGTTAGACGTCGAAGTATTATTGAAGCTAATATTTTAGACACTATATTAGTCAAACTAATTCCTCTGTGACTGTCACAGGAGGACTTCTTTCCTTTCTTATAGACTGGCACAATCAGTGATTGAGACCAGTCAGATGGGATTACGTCCAGTTCCCAGATTCTACCTAAGACCTCAGTCAATCTCGCTGCTAATACTGGACCGCCATCCTTAAAAATCTCAGGGGTAAACTTTTCAGGGCCTGCTGCTCTCTTACGCTTCAGATTTCCTATAGCTTTTTCAACTTCGTAAAGAGTCGAGGACTTACATCAACTTGCCATTCAGGTCGACTGGAGATCGTGGGAAACCGAAGTGTGGCTGAAGGCCAGTTGAACTGATCCCTAGAGTATTCTGCCCATCGATCCAATCTCCTGGATTGCGAATGAATAATATGTCCGTCTTTCTCTGAGATTGTTTCGCTAACAGTTGGGTTCCTAATACCGGTTTCCTTAACAAGTCTGAACAGTTGCCTGCTGTTACCTATTGCCGCTGCCTTTTCCATCTCTCTTGCTTTCGCTACCCACCACTGTTCACGATCTTTGTGTAGGCTTCTAGTCAGCTTACGCTTAAGCTGACTCCGCTCTTCGTTATGGTCAGAGCCAGATGGAATGAGTTTTCGAGCATCTATCAGTGAGGTAGATGCTGCTGAGATCCAGTATTTCTCCCTAACCTTATGGTTTACCGTACTTGCAGACATCACTGCTGTTTCTACAGCTTTTCGGATGTCATTCCACGCTGCCTCGGGGTGAGCGTCACTTACATGGCTGTCTAATTGTTTATCTAGATGTTCCTGAAATATACTCTTAGCTTGACTATCATTTAGTAGGACCCTAAGGGGTTTCCTTGCAGCATGTTTCCTACGTCCAGTAAGACGTGGACAAATACGCGCTCGCACTAGAGCATGATCTGAGTCTAAGCATGTGTTCCAGAATGAGCGACAGTCTTCTATCGAGCCCCTCCATCGGCGGCTGATAGCGATGTGATCTATTTGGGTCCAGCGTTGGGACGAATTAAGGGGTCGCCATGTTAAAAGATGATTTTCCTTATGCTTAAAGTTAGTGTTTGCAAGAAACAGGCGGTTATCTGAACATAGCTGCAACAGACGGTCGCCGTTATCTGTTCTTTGAGCCGCGACACCATAAGATCCACCCAGGTGTCTTTCCTTTTCGCTTGGTTTACCTACTTGACCATTAAAGTCATCAGCCACTATTACTACATCAGAGTGCCTAGCTTTTCGGAGAAGGTCGGAAAGCTTTCTGTAAAACTCACCTATTACATTATCTGACCTGCAGTCAGTGGGAGAGTAGGCAGAGACGACAAAGAGGCAACGACGAGTGTCCCTATCTTTGCGAGTCCTTACTGTTCCGTTTAGTCGGACAGCACACAAACGACTGTCTACTGGGATCCAGTCTAAGAGAGCTAGTTCTGCCCTAGGACTCAATGCTATACCTACGCCAGCGAGGCCACGGGAAGCAGCATCAGGGCTTCCAGATACACGAAGCGTAAATCGAGTTGGTTCGTGACTTTGACATGGTGAGGTTAAATGAATGACACTACTAGGATCCTGTGTGCGCGTTTCGGAGACGCAGCACACATCGATGGAGCGAGATTTTAAAGTCTTAGCTAAGGAAGCCTGTTGTCCTATTTGGCACAGTGTTCGGACGTTGAAGGCTCCCACGTGTAGTTTGGAGCGTGGTTTCAGGAGACCAGGAATAACATTCCGCGTAGTCGAATCGTTCGCACTAGCGGGGCGAGGTGATAAAGGGACGTAAGAAGGTTTAGTCGTGGAGATAAGAGAGTTATTAGGTGTAGGAAGGATTTGAATGTGACCAACTTGGTCTCGTGTGCTGTTACGGGTATGAGGGCTGATGTCACTTCCCGGTTGCCCACACCGTGGAAGGGTATTTCTTGAGGGACCTGAAAAGGAAATCGGATTAGTGTTGGTCTTAGCGACCTGAGTGCATGACCGCATAGCCCAAGGGACAACTGCTTGAGGCCGGTCGCGCACGGCCTTTTTGTGGGAGGTTTTTAATGTGTTAGCTCCGTTCTTCAAAGGGCCTTACCGCCGGAGATGGAAATCCGTGGGGTAAGGTGAGGTGTGACATTTTTAGGGTCGACCTTTTCTAACCCCTTCCTTCCTTGTGAGAAGGCAGCATCGCCGCAGATGCTGGTTGTTCGAGGGAAACACCTTACTGCTGTCACACCTCTGTACAGTCAGCAGTACGAAATTGAGAGGACGAAAAGCGAATGTTTGGCGCTTTAACCGGGTTGATGGGTATGGAGGATTCACCTCGAGGACTCGAAAAAACCCAGATTCCAAACCAATAGTGCACATGAGTTACAGGAACACATGGCATGTGAACCTATTGTTGGTTACCGACTACTATGGGACTGCATCTCCCTATGTTGCTCCACTGCCTTGTGAATCAGACCTCTAGGTCGAAGACTTTGGGTGTGGCTCCCTAAGAAAACCACCTGCTCCGGTTTGGGAACCCGGGTATTATCATAGCCTACACATATCAAGTGACTTGTGTGGCACACATGTATTCAGTGCCCCTTCGTATCAATATTCAAGTATTGAAATAAATAAACGGGACAAGAACACAAGACGGTCTCGCGTGTTGACGCTCAACCTCTAGACCACTAAGTCGTCAATCAAGGGTGTTAACGTCTAACTTCAACTAACATTGAACGTTTCATGATCTCAACTGAAAAAACTCAACAACTTTATGCTGATGATATATTGCCTTACAAAATTTGTCTGCTGTAGAACGATTTTGCAACTAGTGTTAGTCTTATGTACGATGTGACAGAGAACATGTTTATGTGGAAAGCAATGGGTGAATAGTTTAAATTCCGTGAAGTTAGCGAAATGAAGCTAAATCGACCGTGAATAGAAGATAGAAACGTTTATGAACAGTTTTGGGGATTTCTAAACGAAGTCAAAAGGATTTCCTCAAAACGATGGGAAGATTTTCAGGTTTGCACCAAATTAGGGGATTTATCAATGAAGTTTAATGGGTTCTCCCAAGGCTATTAGAAATTTTGAGGATTTCGTCAAAAACGAGCTAAGATTTTTGCGTAAAACCCCAAACCAGAGGTAATTTTGGGATTTTTAGTCATATTTCTACAAAATTTGTCATGATGCTTTCCCGAAATTTCTCAGTGTCGTGAGACTGGGTACCGGTTGCTGCAATAGCCGCACATTAACTGTATCTACATGAGGCTACTCAAGATTACACTGTGTGGATACATTTATGCCTACATCGTTTGAATGTATATTGTTAGACCTCTTAGTTACAGTCAAGCCGTGTTTTGTCTCAGACTCATTTAGTGATCTCTTTAAACATCCATGGAATTTCCCCAAAACATCGGGTTTTCCACCAATATTTTCACAGAATTAGCTGTAAGTATTGTTCTACTGTTGGTATTTCGACAACGTTTTACATAACATTCAAGTTTTGGCGATTGCCATGAAATTTTTTTGGCTAGCTAAAGAATTAACTTTCCTTCTTTCTGTAGAACATTTTGAATGGTAGTTCAACGTCTACATAACGTACCTCCGGTACTAAGAAATATACAGTTTTTTGTGAATGAATAATTTATTAAACTTCAATAAACATTTAAATGTGTTACGAATCATCATTTAATTACAGCGATAGATCGATCGTCGTTAAGTTTCTTTGGCACTGCGTTCGCTGTTCGAAATTGATAGGGAAAAATGGAATACCTGAGTAAAAACTTTTAGGTAGTTATTATCGACAGGCTTTTCCGTGATATCTGTAGAACAATGAGAAGTAATGCTTTAAAAGACAGTTCGGATTATTTCACTGAAATTACGCCAAATTTTGCGGTTTAGTAAATAAGCACGGACGAATTTACCAAAAGCGTAATAAGATTCTGCGAAAGCATTGGTGAAAAACTCGATGTTTAGGGAAAATTTTGGGACAAGACGCGAAATGTACCCAAAATTGCGAAGAATCTTTGGAGTTTTATAAACAAATACAAGCTGATTTCTTCAAAGCGTAATAAGATTCCGGAGGGATTTAGGGGAAGTATCGGGGAAATTTTGGGGTTTTGGTGCCATTTTCCCAAAATCGGGAGATTGGGCCATCATATAAATGTTTGACACAAGTGGCTGTCAGCCGTCTCATCTCGTATTGAACAACATCAGTCTAAAACAAAAATCTAACTCTAAATAGGCTGAACTAATGGGGTAATCTAACATTTTGACCGTAGCAAATACTTACCTTATTAGTGTTATCTCGTGGTAAAAGCGGCGTGGAATTACCCAGGTCAAATCGGCATCCTTCGAGTTTCCATAACCTTGAGAGTCTTGGTTCAAAGCAGGCATTCTATATATGAAGTGCTTGAGGTCGGTTGAGTGTGCGTTAGTTTGCATAGGTTTGTGGATTTTGTAATCTGTTGACGTCTGAAAAACTAAAAAATGTTATTGAGATCTATTTAAAGTACATTCTCTTTCTTTTCAAGAGTAAACATTCGATTTCCTACTGAGTAATTGCCGATTGGAAAGCTTTCGTTATACCAGTTTCATATTAGGTCCGAAAAATAACATAACATCAGTAAATATAGTGACATACAATTCTAAGGTTTGCTTACTTACATTGGCAATATTTTCAAGTTTTAACGAAAATGTCCTCCCTTGCTTGATGGAGAAGCCCTGGGAGAGGTGAGAACTTTCATGTACATTGGCAGCATCATCGGCGAACAAGGAGGATCGGATGCAGAAGCAGAGGTAAGGATCGGCTAAGCAAAGGCCGCATTCCTACAATTGAAGAACATATGGAACTCAAACACAACTGTCAACTAATATCAAAGTCACAATCTTCAGTACGAACGTCAAGACAGTTCTACTGTGCGGAGCTGAAACTTGAATAATTTCCACAACCATAATCAAAATAGTAAAAGTCTACGTAACACAATGAATGTCCGTTGGCCGGATACCATCAGCAACAGCCTACTGTGGGAGAGAACAAACCAGCTTCCATCTGGAGAGGAAATTAGGAAAAGACACTGCAAGTGGATAGGACACGTATTAAGGAAACCATCAAACTGCATATCGAAGCGAGCGTCAATTTGTAATCCTGAAGGGAAACGGAAGAGTAAGGCCATATAGTACACTGCGTCGAGAATTGGAAACATACGTGAAAAGGATAAATAGCAACTGGAAAGCATTGCCCAAGACAGAGTTGGATGGAGAGTGCAGGTGAGCGGCGTATGCTCTTCGACGAATAGTATTAGGCGTATGTAAGTTGCTCGTCGAACTTTCGGCTCGGAGAATGCTTTGGTTGATGTTAATCAATTGTTTAGATTACTTAGACTGAACAAACGTTTCTTGGTTAAGAATGACTCCCAAAATGCGTCTAATGAATTTCACCGCGATTGATATATAACTTTACAGCTCTGTAGACTACTCACAATTATAGTTTATGTTTAGGCCCATATGAGTTATGCTAGCTTCAGACAGACCAGTTTATTCTTCTTGAGTGACATTATTATTCGCTTATTAACCTTGACTGACTTTGTATGAGTGTATGTGTGTGTATCGCTTACCCTATTCATCACACGTCTTTGGATTATTTTTATCTACCTATAGATATTGGGTCACGCTTTATCATAGCGAGTTAACTCAATACCTCTCTTCGCTGTGTTTTTCAACTTTTCATTTCCGATTTGTTTGGACGCACGAGTGCTTGAAAAAAATTTAACTTACACAACCTGTTTTTGGCCCATTATTACAGCCGTCACATTAAAAAGGTTTGCCCAGGTGCAATATACGGACCTAATTGGAAGATTTATATTCATGGCATATTCATAATTCCATCAAAGTCGGAGCTATGTCTAAGGGCTACCAATCACTAACTATATGCATAAGGTGGGTAGTAGCAATCGAAAAATTTAAGTTTGTTGTACTAAAATATGTATTTAGTGTTGAGTGAAAGCCTCAGAGAAATGGATTGATTGATAAACCGTTGGAACTCTAAGTACTAGATTACACTGTAAGTCAAAGTTCTGTGTGTTTGTACACAACAATGCCTCCTTTGTATATTGTTCCGCGGTTGGTTTAAGTTCGGAATGCTGCAGTGTCAAACTATTTGCTTCTAGTTTCGATTCCAAAATTGTTTGAACCTCGTGTTTGTGTTATTTCGGGTTGTTTTCCACTACTTTATTAAATGTAAGTGCATTGTGTGCGCTTGCTGGGTCTGACTCAACCTCTTTTGCTTTCCTATTTTCCACCCTCCTCGCACGTTATTCTGCATGCTTCCTAGTACTTAAAGTACATTCAAGCTGGACGCAAACCACTACAGATACAGTACCTTCGACTGTGCTCACAGATTTCTCTCTGACTTGTATATCGGTTTATATGTGACTAAAACATCACGAATTGAACTGTTCTTGGTATTATTAGTTATCATACAGAATTCGAGTGCGATCATAGTTTCCCGAATTGAAGGTCAACATTTCACCTAGCCTAGGATCCTAACGGATTTTTTCATAATGTCTTTTAGGACGATTCACAATCATCCATGTGATTACTCATGGGTGGTTTGTTATGCATGAACCAGGAACTTATCATAAGGATAGAAAGGAAATCTGAAGACTTTTCCACTGCAATGAAATCGTACACTGACATGGAAACCACCGTTACTGATTTAAAAACAGTGACAGTGAGAGTAGCCATCGGTAGGCGCGTACTATTAAATTTTCAGGTTGAGGCTCACGGCTGGTCATTGGTATACTTCGACGAAATAAAGGACTAAGAGAGTGTTATAATCATGGCTTCTAGACATTCTAACGTAATTCTTTGCACTTTTCATGTGTTGTACACTTTGGAAGATGTTAAACTCATAAGTTCTTTGATGACGTTGCTTGCGGTTAAAAAGTTGTATTTGGAATGTTTATCAGTGCCTGTTGGTTAGGGCCGAGATAGTGTTTGTAACTTACTTATTTTGTAGGTTTGACCAATATTTCAGGATCATTAGCACAAGGGGTAGACGTACCGACTTATAACTTCATAGGCTTGCGTGGTCAAGCCACCATTAACTTAGAATAAAGCGACCACCTATAACCACTATCGAGATCATCTTATATGGGACAGTGGAATTCTATTGGAAAATATGCTTCTTAGCTATATTCACTGTTTCAGTAGCTTCTGACAGGAAGCATGTTGCACCCAAACAACAGTAACACACTAACACGAATCCTCACTATCTTTTAGGAGACGGGTGTATTAGATATTTCATTAAAATGTATCATGCATATAGACCACTTTATTATGGCTAAAAATCCCATGGAGTAATGACATCACAGGAGGTCGGACATATCAGGAAACCTGAACTACAGTTTTCCGTATAGGTCTACTCACAAAGCTTTAAACCGCTCTGTATTCAGAAATGATAGCTTCGTTAGAGGCCTACAAAGACTTTCAGTTGATGTTCACGCTCATAAAAACGGGTGTACTAACGAGCTTATAAAAGATAACGCAAGTTTAAAATAGATTCGCTTATTTAAACGACAGGAAAACTAAAGACATACGTATGAAACTAAATATCTGGTAGCAAACAATGCCTTTTTTAAAAGTAAAACGTTCTGCCATATGGATTTGTAACAGAAAATACTTACGACAAGAATATCTATCGTCAAAGTTTAGGTCATCCTGTAATATTCTCCTTCAATGATAAATCAACATCCAAAAAGCCTATTTTCAACGCAACTTTTAACCTTCTTTCGATATTTAATGTTAAGAACACGGATTTTTATTAAGTAATCCAATAAATAAGCGCGAACATTCAGGGACCTAACATCAGCTGTTGACAAATAATAACTAATAAATCATCAGAAAGCACACTCAAAGTATTATTCGGTCTCGTCGTAAAAGATTTCCGTTCGTAATTTCATCGACGAATCCAGATGATTTTAGTAAAAAATAGTGTAAAAATGGAATTTATAATCCATGCTCTTAATGGACACTTCACAAGCAAATATTATTTGAGTAGACTGTTGGAAGAAAGGAGGAACTCACTATTGTCATCATGATCATCCACATGTCAGTCCTTAAAATACATGAAGCTACTGTTATTGAGGACCGTCCTTGGAGGACATTAAAGCAAGAAAAGCCCAAACTTTGGCGGCGGAATACGTGAATAATTGTACCACTTTATAAGGAAACAATGTCGTTTGTAGTAGTCATGCCTAAAATAGTTTAACGAATTCCTTATGTAAGAAATCTGTCCAACCGACCGCTCTACGCTAGTTCATGGGTTTTCGTACGAAAGTTTTTAAATATTTTACCGCAATCGCCGAAATACCTCCGAAGCTGGAAGATAAAGACGTCTTCAAAGTTGAAAAAGATCCCTCGGCAATTGAATAAACTAGTGACACGAACGTCAATAGACACTCCAACAGGTACACTATAATATGAGAGAACGCCAAATGAAGTAGATGATACGATGTGTAACAAAGTTCAAAAACTCGTAAAATCAGTAAAAACACCTTAGCATACTGATTAAAAGGCTTAAAATGGTGGCAAAAAGAACCACTTTTTACAATCCCAGTGAAATTATTTTTCGAATGTACCAAAAACTAATTCTCTATGTTGAGCACACACGACAGGCAAATCAATGTTGCTCCAAAGTCCTAGTCATAATATAAACTTTAACCTGATAACACAATATTTTCTGGAGAGCCTAATAAGATAACACTTTTTTGTGAAGTACATTCACTAGAATAGTCACACAATACCTTCGTTTTACATATGATATTAATTCATGATAGAAACTCTATCAACAGTTCTTAGCTCAGAACTATATGGGGAACCTGAAAAACATAATTCTGTTTGTTTAAGAGTTAAAGAAGACAGATAGTTATTATCTATATAGGCGAGTTTACATAACGTTTTTCTCTCTACCGGTAGAGAAACCTATAGAATCATCAAGTGCGTAAAATCTGTTTACATTTTGTAGTATTCATTCTCCCTCCAATAAACTATTCAGTTATATGAACTGTTGTGTAATTTGCCATGTGAGGTATTCAAAATCACATGCGATAAACCTCTGTTACAATTATCCGATTACCTGTCACATTCGCTTACTGGTTGTTAAAGATCATTTTTATCGCCAAAAGTAAGTGTTTTTCGTTTTATGGTTCTTCTTTTTCAGTTAACCACACGTACGTCTCCCTAGTAGTAAAAGTACTTTCAGGCTGGCACCAATGGCTTCAACCCATGCTTTACTCCTGGACTTAGAATTTACTACACATAGTCTGTAAATAACTGTAATAGTAGACGGATAATTGAAGGTGTCTGCCTGTAAATTAGTTCAGAGGAGTTTCTATGTTAATAGTAATGCGATCAACCCATACAGATAAAAAAGATCATGAGACGATGGAGAAGATTTGTAGCTCAGGTGGAT